GATTATTTATTACAAGATAATTAGCATTTTTCTTGTGAGGTGCAACAAGCTATCTGTGATTAGAAAACAGGAAGTCAATTACAGAAAGAACAAATAGAAAACTGAAGTACTCAGCTTCACTTAAAAGCCTGAAGAAAATGTTAGAAAAGGTGGAACATGACTCTTCTCAGAGGCACACAGTGAAAGAACAGGAGGCAATGCCACAGATTGCAGCAATATAAATTTCAGCTGCATATCAGGATAAATTTTTTTGCAATGAGAATGGTTAAGAAATAGAGAAGTTGTGAAACTTCCATCCTTGAAGACTTCTAAAACCCCACTGGCTAAAACTCTGGGCAACATGATAGAACTTCTAAGTTGGTGCTGCTCTGAGCAGGAGACTGGATTAAGTGACCTTGAAAGGATTCTTCCAGCATGAATAAGTCTGTGATTTTGTAAGTCTAAGTTATCTTATATTTCCAGTTATTTGTGGTGGGTAGGAGAGAAAGTGTTCAGAAACCTTTAATTTCCCTTAAAACTTCTGGCAGAAAACAACCTGATTACATATTTTCCTTTATGTTTACATTTTAATAACTACAGAAAATTCAGTTGTTTTCATTATTTTTAACAATTTCAATTTTAAATAACTGCATATTTTAAATTTATGCTTTCAAGTTCCCCCTGTTGCAGTACAGGGCAATATAGGAAAGGAAGTAACATGATTTGAATGCAAATAGAAACTCTTTTTTTTTTTTTTTAATTAAGAACAGTAGCTCAGACCTGTATAATGAATGAGGAACCACAGTTCGACTATACCAAGTGATCCATGTACGCAATATCACTTTTGTGCTTAGAGATCTTAGATGCCAGAGTTCTGTGCCTAACCTTTCATATTCTTATTCTACATGTTTTCAGATCAGAACTGAAGTACTGAATTTACATTTAAATTTGTTATTAATCTTTTTCTGACAGCTGCAGTATATGGAGTAAGATCCAGTATGTCAGCCTCACTCAACTGCCAAAACTTCATCTCTGAAATAGGCTATGTGGTACAGAGATTAAAGAAAAACATACAGTTGTGACTTCATCATTAAAAGGTATGAAAAAATGAATGTAGAAGAGAGTTAAATCAAGCTTAGTCAATGGCATTTCTTGGTATTGGACTCTTTGACTTTCAAACATCTCATTTTTGTGTACAACATATATAAGTATAACCTAATGATAATATTGTAAATTCCTTTTTTTCCTGTAAATAAGGAAGACATCAAGAATGCCACACAAATAGAAACAAAGTCAATTTTGACAGTTAAAATGAACTTTTCAGACGTGTACTCTTGGTCATAATCACATAGTACTCTGAGAACTACAGTAAAGTGGTTATGGAGCTCAGCCAGGCAACAGTGAGAGGAGAATTCTTGGATCTGGTCACACAAATAGAATGCAAAGAGAACCAGAAGTACTGACTCAAGGATGGGACTCTGTGCAGCAAGGGCTGCTTTGGACCCTGGTCCCCCTTGTCCAGCATCCAAAATCCAGCCTCTGCCTTGAGTTCCAGCAGCTGACAGCAACAGAGTCTCCACTCCCACTCTTGTGATGGGACCAGTGCAACCTCAGGGAAGGGTTTCTTTCAGCAAAAAGTGTTTACTCATTTCAAAACTAAAAATGTGAGTATGATAGTTCTGGTTTTCTTCTGCCTATTTTCTACTTGTGGTATCATTAGACATCATTAGGGAAGGCTTTCAAATGCCATGAATCAAGAGTATTCTTAATCACATGAGTATTTTCTGCTGTTGTTCTGAGATAGCTGAATTTATCTCCTTGTGTACTTCCCTGGGTTTAAAAAAAATCACAGGAATATTACATTTTCTCAGAAAGGCTTTCTTATGTTTTCCTTTTTTTTTTTTTTTTTTGCTTCACTAGTGTACTTCAGATGTGTCTCAGTCAAGATAATAGATTATGCTTTTCATGTGCTACATTTGGTTAGCCACAGGCCAAAATAAATATTACCAGTCCTGACACCTTAAATCCTACTTATAGAGAGTATGGCAGTCACCAGTAAGCAAAACAACACATAGACTAATTAAATATTTTTGAAGAATAATACTGAAAAGTAAGTCTGTGAAGTGGGTTTTCTAGTCATTTATTCACAGATCCACACAAAAACCAAGGTTAAGAACAAGTAATTGTACTTCCTCTTTGTTACAAACCATTCTTACAAAGCCATAAATATTCCATCTTGCTGTTATAGAGATTCAGCAAAGATAACTGTGCCTCAAGGACAGAAAATACTTGGTGTGACACCATTTTCCACAAGATATCTATGATTGTAAAGGTGTATAATGCAAACAGATTTACATGGATGTTCACAAATAGTCCTTGAATCTCCTCAGTCTCTTTAGAGATGCTTATCTCATTGTTCTGAAAATTTCTGAGTCTTTACAGACCTGTTTCAGTATAATAAGGAGAAGCTGTAAAAATGTCATGACCTCCACCTCCACAAGTAAAATAAGTATATTAACAATTGAAATATGTCCTCTCCATTTTCTCAGCAGGTGATGATGGAAAAATTGTTGTACACATAGAATAAAAGCTTTCTTAAAACTTTGGAAAAAACCCCTGCCTTCTCTTTATTTTATTTTGTAGTAAGCTATAAATAATACATATAAAAATAAACTATACCAATCTGAACTATTATTAGGCTGTATTTTTAACCTCTCAATTCTTAAAGCCATGCTGCACAGGATCCCCTCATGGTTTACAACCTTGGAGGCATCCCTCTGGCACTCCCCTAAAAGTTGGTTTTTATTGTGTATTTAGAATTAGTTCAGACCCAGAGCTTTTCTTAAGGTTCTACATACCATTTGAAACAAAAAAAACCCCTAGGTTTATCACCACAGATTTAAAATTGAAAAATATAAATATATATTGATGAAAAATATAAATAATAAAGATTAATTGCAAGATTTATGAGTAGACCTGAGAAACATTACACCTGAAATGATCTATTCTGTAATATACCAACATGTATAAAACAGCCAGAGGCCTCTGAAGTGTCTAGAATGGGGGGGTATGTTATATCAACCTGAACAGTGGCATATCTTTGTATTAGATGTATATTTCCAAGAGCTAGATGTTCCAGAATATTTCCCATGTAGGGAAGTCTTGACGCAGCATTTGAGTTGAAAAGGAGAGGAGAATGATGCCCCACATCTGAATTAGACATTTTGTAGTTAATGAGTTGATCTCCACCATTTTTTAAAATCAATTTTTCTCTGAACTCTTGCTTTTCTCCCTCTCTTTACCAACTCTGGTGCTCTGAAAGCCAACTGAAGTGGAAAGAATATACTCTACTGGGTATTTCAAGGCAGATCATATCACTGGAGCAAATAATACCTCTAGAGACCAAATAAAAGATTAAACTGCATTCAAATATAGACCTGAACCCTATGACGGTGTGGGAAACTTTCTAGATGATGATTTCTAGACTTCTGAAAAAAAAAAAAATTTCAACGTTTGGATACCGCTTGTGGCCCATTTTACTTCCAGCTAATTACTAGTGTTCTTACACTGTTTTTATACCCAGTGCTCAAACAGCTACTTCTCCCACCCCCATTCACTTCCCAAGGCAAGGTAAGCATCACAATGTTTACAAGTTTAGGAATGCAGGTGGCTGAAACAAGCAGGTGGAAAGAGGGTGGATTGGGTTGAGTATAATTGTACAACAGCCGCCAGGTTTGTTATATATCTTAGTTCTCCTGGCAACAAAGTAAGAATTTTGACCAAATAAAAGTCAATATATGCAGTTCTTTTATTTGCTATGTTTTTGCCAAGTTTTTATTGAGATTTGGCCTGTCTGAAAGTATAAAAAAAAGGAAAGGGTAACGTTTTACCTGCAGAAAATTAGTTTACACCCTCAGAAAATAAAAATCTGATCCTTTTGAAGTTAGCATCTTTGAAGAAACAGAATACATGGGGATGAAATACCTTGTCTCAAGTAGCTTTTGTACTTTGGGGGTGATTTGAAAGAAACAACACGAAATTAAGTACCTCTGCCTCATTTATTCTTCCTATAATTGTGTTTAACCTTCTGCATAAAAAGGTATCAGTAACTCACAAAGGATCAGAGGATTACATCTGTAACTTACAGTTGGGCTAAACTCCCTATAATCAGGTAAAAACATTAAAATCTGAGTCAAGAAGACAACGTGATGTGCTTGACACGAGGGATTCTCCTTGATGGTCATAGCACTGTGAGCATAATTCAGCAACAACTAGACTCAATTGAAGCATATTACCCTAGAAAAAATTGTTGCCACTGTGACTCTTTTATCCCACAAATTACCAGCTTTCTGGGAACACCTTGGAAAGCAGGAGTGTTGGTATGAGACCATTACCAACTGTTACTTCATGCATTATCACACTGTCAATAAAACTCTATAAATATGCCATTCTTAGGAATGTATATTTTTTCCTATAGATTTTTACTATGTATATGTGTTCAAAGAAAAATTCCTACCAGAAGCATAAACTTAAAGAACACTGATGAAGCCAAATGGCAATCTGTTCTGGCGCCTCAATTTACAACTTAATTTAATAAAAGACCCCTTGTTTTACAACTATTATACTATGCATAAGACCCCTGAAAGGAATCCAGCTAAGTAACAGCAAGCTAAAAAATACAATAAATATTTGTTTGCCCCTGAGATGGCAATGTTTTGTATTCATGAAACCATTAATTAATGTCTCTCACATTGGGTGGAGTTTGCATTGCAGGGCTACTGAGGGGGACAAAAAGAGGTAATTGTCTTTTAAAGAATATATGCAATTATTGTTGTGGGCATCAGAATGTATACGCTCATTACTGTCTGGTTTAAAAGTTTCTAACATACACAGAATATTCCAAATTTATATCATACTACCACATTCATTTAGGTAACACTAAAAGAATAAGTAAAACAGAGCACAGCCTGGGGCATATTAACAAAGAGTTGATGGCTGAAATGTATCCAGTGGTAAATTACCTTTGAAAGGTCTCCAGCCTCCAAATAGAAGCAGATAACAAACACGTTCCATGTAACCCAAAGGACCAGCCAGACAGCATACTGTAGGGAGGAAGAAAAAACCACAGAATTAACAATTCCACTCTCAGCTGAGTTAAACTTAGCTCATTAGCTCAATCCAAGACAAAAACAGATTATAAGTATGGTGCCTATGAATAAAAGTGTTACACATAAGAGAGAGTTACAAATACATTCTTCCCTTTCCCTGACAGTGTCTAGTGACCTAGTGAGTACTCAGTCACAGCAGAAAACCTGCATCTCAGGAAACAGTTAATAAATCTGACATTTTAATTTGGGGCTAATCTGTATATCTTTCTTTGTTCAGATGGGTAATGCTACAATAGTGAAACTACAATTATTAGTAGTAGTTATTATATAATTGTATTAATTATATTAGAAGTGCAGAACTGGTCATTCAACTATAACTTACTAAATAACAACCTAATTGAACCAGCCCTGGATTTTTTTCAACACTTCCGATTTAGCCTCAAGAAACCAAGCATATATAACCTAAAGAAAATCTGTCTGTCTATCTATCTATATCTATCTATCTATCTATCTATCTATCTATCTATCTATCTATATTTTTTGCAGTATTTCTACAAAACCAGGGGGAATTTTTTGACCTTCCAAACCAATGTTCATAATTATTCAACACCTTCAGGAAGAAGACTGCATTTTAAATTGCCACTTTCTTTGAGGTTCTAATTTTTTTTTTGGTCTCAGAATGTATAGGAGAAGCATTGAAGCATTAATATTTAAGCAATATTTGTTCATTGGTAGTTGTCAAACATCTTATTAATGTATCTGATGTGAGTAATGGAATACAATTTTTCTCTCCTTCTGTCCATTATTTTGCTTCGGTTTTGTATTCATAAGATCTTATGTGCTAGGACTGGAAAGTAAATTCCTCTGCTGTAAAGCTGGAGGATCCTGGACAGTAAAGGCTGACCTGCAGTTGCTAATCTTATTTGATGTTGGTGTTTAAGAATTTCCCTTGACAAATTATTCCATCACCTAATAAACTTCAGGATCTTCAAATGTTTTTTCTGATGGCTGCTGTAGCCATCCTCTAGTCCACAAATCAATTCTGTATGTTTGTTTATTTCCTTCCACAAGGCCTTGCATACATGGGAAATATGACAGTAATAGGACACCATTCCCTACCTGCTAGAGCTGAGAGCTGCTTTCTTCTTTTACATCACCACCCCACTTCTCACAAGTGTTTACAGACTTACTCTTCATGTTTTGAAGCCTTTTCTCCAAACCATACTGATTACATGTTGATTGCTCATTTTCCAAATCAGAAAGCACTATTTTCTGCACACCTCCAAGTGTTCACATTCTGAATAAGCAGACTATATTTTGGATTGTATACTATCCACTCCATACAAAAAAACCCCAAACATTATAAACTATGGTTTGTCATTAATGAAAATCTCTTTGTCTTCTTTCATTAACAACATATGCAGGATTCTTCTTGCATTTCTCTTGCAAGTGATATTCTGCATTACACTGTCTATTATTCAACATGCCATTTTCAACCTAATCTACTAGCTACTGTGAAAATAAGCCAATTCTGCCATTTCCCAGGATTTAAAGTGAGACTATATCCAATTCTACCAAAATTTAGACCTGTTCAAATTTCTTATTTTTATAGATAACAAAATAATTTCCAGCCAGCCTAGCTATTAGTTGGACCATGTTCAGATTTTAAAAATTTATGATAAAAATAGTTTTGATTTAATGGAAGCTAACACAGCTATAAATGCTTGAATTGCTTTATACAGAAGTAATTTCAGGTAATTTAAAGCATACAGATTACATATACTTTATAGGTCAGCTCTTTCTGGTCACAGATGAGAGATTTATTTAGGCCAGAAGAACTCTCTGGAGGTCACCTGGTCCAATCCCTGTTCAAAGCACAACCAGCATGGATCAGGTTTTGCAGGGATTTATCCAGTTGAGGTCAGAATATCTGCAGAGATGACCCAGGTAATCCACATCTAAATTTTGAATACAGGTTGCTAATAAAACTTTGGAAAATAGGAACTTAGCTCAGCTGGAGAGTCTTAACAAACTCTTTTTTTTTTTTTTTTTAAACAAAACTTTGAGACATTAAACATATTAAGCATTTCATTTTCCTGTAACTTTCTCACAGTACACCCCTCTTCACACGTAACATGGAGCTTTATAATTACAAAAAAGACAAGAAAACATCCATTTATATTTAACAACCCTAATTTGGCTTTGTTAACTGTGTTAACTTTGCAGCATTTTAACTTGTTGGTTTTTGCCAATTCTTGTAATTCTGTAATGTTATATATTCTTATGAAGAAAATACTAACACTCCTTCTGATACATGAAGATAACTGGATTTCTTATAGTGCAAATTCTAAATACTGCAATTATGTTGGTTTCTCAAAGATACGAAATGTGCAATTTCTGTTCCCTTGAAAAATTTTTTGTGCTCCAGAACAATTTTAAGCAAATTGGACAAAAGAATACAAGAGGATTGGAAGATACTTTTTCCACAAAAGTTTCAGCAAAATGGGCATACAAATGGTAATAGAAACAATTAAGTCCTTATACACAGAAGGACTTACAAAATCATCATTTACCACTCAACAAGAAGGGGGAAAAATATGGGAGAGAGACAATGGAAACCAGGTTTCATTAGGTCAGATTTCATAGCACAACATCTCCCAATAGATGTAAGCAACAGTGATTAAAAAGTTCAATGTGCACAGGACATTCAACAGAACACTCCAAGGAACTTAGGAAAGTTCCTGGAACACTCCAAGGAACTCCCCCTGTGCCAGCAGAGAACCTTATTACATGAAGAAACAAAACATTTTCTTTTTTACTGCTAATTTATCACCAAAAAAACTGACACATTTGTCTGCCATTTAGATACACTCATTTAACAAGAGTCTCTTGTTATTGGACTACAGATAAGGCTAAAAATGTCTTTTTAAAGTATGTTTTAAACTTCTTCCTTTTGAAATGTTGTATTAAGTACTTGTTGCCTGAATTCAGTTGATAAACACTGAGTTTAATTGTCTTGAAATAAAAGGATGTTTCTGCTCCCCATTGCTTCTTATTTCAGAGGCCTCAGATGTGGCTCATCTCTTATCTCTGCATCACATGAAGTCATAAATGCCTCTTGTTTTCTATGTGCTTCAGCAAATTGTTGAAGAAATTCAGCACTGAAGGTCTGTGACAGTGAACAAATCCCCCTGACACTCTCTATTATATGTATCTAATTAGAAGCACATTTTATAAGAGTTCTTCAAAGGGCTATAGCTGTATTTTTTTCTTTTATGTGGGAGTTCAAGACAGCTGCATTATCTGACAGAAGCACCACAATGCTACAGCAGTCACATAACAGCAAGACAAGAACTTTGATGAATACACACTTGACCAAGCAGGAGATACTGAGAAGGGGCACAGCAGTGACAATGAAGCTTATTATTTTTATGGAGATCCACAGTGGAAAGAGGTATAACTAGGTTAAGACTGAAGACTTGAATAGTAAACATGAATTTATAACCCTCTGCAAAGAATTTTGAGAAGTATTAGGTATTTCATGATTTATTGATAGTGTGTAGTTACATTCCCTATGAACCATCACAAATGAATAGAGGATGTATTTTTTTCTTGGGGAGAGGAAAACTGAGATATTAAAATACCTGTACCACTAGTGAGAACCTCCACATTTCTCTTCACACTTCTGTCAAAGTTGGCTACGTCACATTATTTCCAATTTACTAACAGGGAAACTGGAGGTCAAAGAAATTAAATCACTTCACTTAATACCTAAGCCAAATGGAAAAATGATCACAAGGGCACAAGAAGCAAAGGTTCAGGTAGGCCACAACTGCCTTTGATATAAATATGGTCAGCAGAGCTCACATCTAATACTCTTTTCATACTTTGCCTGAAGGAGATATATGTCCCATACCTTTCAATCATAAATAGCCAGGAACTCTTATAGCTATGAGTATTGTTAATTAAATAATTTATTTTCCCAAAGAACTTTACATGGCATCTCTCTTGCTTCCAAGTTCTTTTCTGATATGTGAGCCAGTTACAAACACATTTGTCTGGGGGATACAAGGGCTGAGACCTACATTGTGGAATTCAAAGCAATTGAATTGTTCTTGTCATTAATGATTTGCTGTTTATTTTATTTTTAGAAATCTACACAATTTTAGTTTCATGTTCTTCCAAATCTGAGAATATTTCCCAAGATCCTGCTGCATTCAGGAAAAAGAAACTGAAGGAATTTCTAAAATTATAATTACTACATTTACCACAGTAATTAAATATGTGATTATTTGCGGTAGCTGGACAACAGTACTTGAGTTGTTCAAAGATTACCTAGAGTCCAGCATGTCTGGGAAGAGCAACTCATTCCAGTAACGCAGTAAGAATTGTCCACAATATAATTATCTTTGTTTCTGAAGTTATTTTCCCCTAATTTACCAAGTCTATGAAGATATATCACTTAGAAATACAATTTTTTCAAACCTATCTCTTCCCCATCAAATAAGATGAAAAGTGAAATTCTGAGTACTTGGCATCCACGTACTGTCTCTGCCTCTTGTTTCCATATGGCTGGAACTGATAGAATCCCCTAGATTCCCCTGTGAGAAGTCCATCTGAAGCAGAAAGGGCATCAGTCTACAGCGGGACTTCACGTGGAGCCATCTCTGTTTTCATCTGATCTGTGCATTTTGCTGTTTCCTTCCTATTCCCATTGCCGGAGGCTTTTCCTGGAGAGTTGAGGAGGATATGGGCAGCTCAACATGGTGGAGAGTCCAGTTTCTAGAACCCAACAGGAGCCACACATCAGCAGGAAGCTTCTAGTGCAGAGCAGGATCAGAAACCACAGCCTGACTCCAAAGAGGAATCTGAAGTCAAATTCTCAGCCAGCAGACATTCAGTGATTGAATGCATAAGGACCAGATGTTTCAAGCTGAACTGCTGGTCCAAGGAACCTAACACACAGAGCGACTGTGTTCTGCTTTTAATGGTTC